CCTGAGAAATTTACGCTACTGAAGTTCGCATTGGTGGTAGAAGTAGACGATAGACAACTCCTAGAGCCAATCGCTGCTTTGTACTTTACGGGTATCAGGAGAAGCCCAACCTTCTCCTGAGAATTATCACTAGATGGAACAGAACCGGGTTGGGATCAGTCGCGGCCGTGTGAACGTGTCGGCATTTTCCCGATCGTACTGGATACGTGTGAGTCAGAGTAAAAGTACAAAGCACAGTGACCTGATTGCTGGCAAGTCCTCCATCGCCAACCACGTAACCTCCATTCCGGACAAACGTCTAGACAGTGAGCAACCCCATAAATACCACACGTTCTCTTTCCCTTACTTGATCAGGACCAGGACCACGACCACGTTTTGGTTGATGATACCAATAAAGGCTTGCACTGTTTTTTCCAACTGTCTTTTTGCTGGAATCGTTGGTATACGCATCGTTAGACCAGGTTCAGCGATAGTTCGGCAAGACAAAGCAACTGGCAACAGGAATTTCACCGGAAACGACCACTCCCGATCCGAAACAATCAGGACTTCCTTGTTGGAGAGTATCGTACCCCTACTGTTGCGAAAGCACGCCGAATGCATTGATCTGTTTCAATGGATATTGATAAGTACCATGTTAGCCAGGTATGGTTATCGAAACACAACAGACTGAAAACGTTGAATCGCTGGTCTATTCGAATCAGTAAGAAGCTCATCTCAACAACTTGGTTTAAAATTCTGCTCCACGAATTAAACATTATGTGAGCCGAGGGCGAAATTTCAGACTGATCACATCGGTGCTTACGTAGGCTTATCCGCTTTTTATCAGGACATGTTTGCGGAAACACCAGGGACCTGAATTTGGAAAATCCGTTTCTCCCCGACATTGTTCAAGTGCATTCAAAAGTGTACCAGTGCTGTTGGTGTGATCCGACTGCTCAACTAACGAAAACAATGTGTGACTGACGCCCATGCGAAACCTAACGAGAGCGCTGATTGTTTTCACAATCCAAACATAATACTGTTGTCTTCTCATTAGCTTTCAAACTATACTATTAGAACCCATCATTCATTCAACTCCAGTAGACGACAAAAACATGTCGAATTGTGCATTTGACGGCTATCTAAGGCCCAACGTGTTAATTCATATCTGCGTGTCTCTATTCCGCTTCTACACTTCCTGATCCTTGCGTTTTCCGAGTTTTTACAAATTTGTTATTGGCGACACTGAGCTAATTCCCATTTGAAATTTGAGTGAACCACTTTTCAGGGGCAATGTCCTGCAGCTGAACACACATCTACAGAAAAACGTAGTATTGATAATAGCTGACTAACAATATTGTGAGGTACTACTCATGTTTATGTACGCAAAATGCACTTGACTGTTTTTTTTAACGGTCACAAATAAGCAAGACTACTTACAGCAAATTGCTGTGCTCCAACTAGTAACTACGTACTGTTCCATCGATTATCCCGCGTGCTACCGGGAATTGTGATGACATGTTCAAAGTGAGGTATTATTATACGTACGCCGAATGATCGATATCCTACGTCCTCGATAAACACCCATCCTCGCCTAAGCACCACCCTGAGAAATTATAACACCAGTGCTGTCCTTGTCGGTACATTATAGTTTACAATTCCATGAAATAACGTAGTTGTAACATGAAACGGCCAGTGCTACAAAGGCCATTGCTATATATTTTATATACTACTATATTATTATATTTTGTTTTGTTCACCTATGAAACTGGTGAAACAATGCAGGGCTCGTTTATTACGCCACAAACCGGTACCATCGATATGAAGAACGCTTAGCGGGTCCAGTCGGACTCTCAAAGTTTGGGTCTGCGAATCACCTGCGGTGTACCCCTGTGGCACAAGAATCGGATATCCATCAGCTGGCTCACCTCCCAGAGTGATAGAGCTAAGTGCTGACTTTTCATCTCTGAATTAGTTAGTTCTTCAAGCTTGCATTACGCTAAACTTGCCTTTTCTGACGGCTTCTTACTCATTTAAGTGTGAACAGCTGATGGTATCAAAGCACAATTATTTTACTCCACACTTTTTACCATTTCCTTTGGGCTTGATTCCATGGTTTGTGAAGTAAGTGTGAGAACCCGAACAAAGGCATTGTGTTGTGTGAAATCCAAAAAAATTATGACACCCAAGATATCCGACACGGGGAAGAGGATGTTGATCTGTTTGCATGCATATATGTATTCATGTATTTATAGATATATGCACATGTACATCATGTATGGAAACGGACCCGAAACCTAGAGAACAACGATGGTCACTCACGAAAAGATACCAGAGAGAGAGAGAGGGGGGAATCGAATCACATCGAACGAGGTGAAGACAAGGGAAGAAGACCGGAGGAGGTGGAATGGGGACAAGGGGTGACAAGATCAGATTGAGAGAGAATTCACGCAATCAATCCAAAACATGTGGACACTGGGAACAACAGCACATCGAGGGGGCGGAACATAACACGTGGGCATCTGGCGGCAAAGGACCCGACAACACACACACACTAGTGCCAGAGTATACACAAACCAATCTGTAAGTCAATCCAGTAAAGATATGTTCAGAGATCAGAGAATCACTGCATTGAACGACTAGCGATCGGATAGAAAAGAACAGTCCGTGTGCGTGTGCAACCATTGAGTGTCTTTAGCGTAAAGGTGAGGTGATTATGCTCAGACGGGCGGGGTTTGAGTCCCCTGAAAAAAGACAGACAGATAGATAGATGGGAATTGGTAGGCGCGAATG